GACCACATATGGACAAAACGTAAACAACTGAACTTACAGATAAGAAAATATTACTGGCTACTTGGGAGAAAATCCAAACTAGCCATTAAAAATAAACTACTTATATATAAAGCAATAATCAAACCAGTATGGACGTACGGCATCCAACTCTGGGGCACTGCCACCAAATCAAACATAGACATATTAGAAAGATTCCAAAATAAAACATTACGATACATCACAGATCCACCATGGTTTGTCACAATGAAATCATAAGAAAAGACGTAAACATAACAACTGTACGAGAGGAAATCAAAGCATTTAAAAGGAAATATACAAACAGAATCTCGGAACATCCAAATCAGCTAGCAAAAAATCTATTAACTACTACTCCGATAGTTTCAAGATTTAAAAAATATCAAACACCTTTTGTAAATATAAATGAAATATTGTAAATGTCACATATGGATACTGCTCACTGGAGAAGTACCCACACGCAATTCATTTAATATATTGTAATTTTTAGTTAATAATAACATGTACTTATTGTCCACTAAGGACAGATTGTAACATAAATTGGAAAATAAAAAAAAAAAAAAAAAAATTATCATAGCGAGGTCCCTGACAACAGAAACCTCACTATCGACGAAATTAACAACTATATAAAGTCCATTGAGAAAACTATACAAGGCGCGATCGAACTTCACGTACCGAAATACAAGCCGACGGATAATGTTCTTAATTATGTAAGCTCAAAAATCCGTAAACTCCACCGATACAAATCTTTTTTAGTCTCCCAACTCAATAATTGCTACAAACGCCCAGTGAATATCAATAATCAAAGAATTCGATTTTTTATAGACCTTATTAATACAGTGAATACCATACTCAAAAACAAATACCAAGTCTCATATAACAAATATTGGGATGCGGTAATCAAAAATATTAACTACAAAAATCCTGAATCCTTCTTCCCAAAAATCAACAAATTTTTTAGGCCTAAAGAACAGCTTCAAATTTATTCTCTTCACGTACACAAAAACAACACACAGTTACTCGATCGCATCAATTGCGAACTGCAGGGCAAACAAACTATTAACGATGAGTATACATTAGAAACTCAAGCGGACATTCTTAACATCATCGGTGCGCACTACGAAAAAGTGAATGCCCCACGTTTCATCAATGAAGGCACCAAAACGAAACGAATAGTCGAGAAAACGGTTTATCCACTACTTGAAAAATTTAACGATAACTATAAGAATAGTAATGCAATTACTCAATTCTCTACATCTAATCCTGCATATGCTACAGCACAGATTGATGACTCTCTCGAATTTTTCGACGTCAACCGCACTCAACTCATTCTCAAATATTTACCTAATAAAACCTCATCAGGACTAGACAACATCCCACCAATAGTGCTCAAACACCTCCCCCCCGCAATAGTTTCCGACTACACAATACTCTTTAACAACTGCATCAATCTCAAATACTTCCCAGATTGCTGAAAGCGCGCCAAAATACTTCCAATTCTCAAAAAAGGCAAATGCCCCCATGACCCAGTCAGCTATCGCCCCATTAGTCTCACCCCTGCAATCAGTAAAGTTTTCGAATGCACAATAAATTCCTCAATAGTCAAATTGCAAGAGTGGTCAGCCCACGTGCGCCTTGGGCTGGTCTCTGCTAATTTTTCTGGGTTCTTTCTCGGTAAAGAAAGCCGGCGCTGACTTTCACAGGCCGAAGTTCGCTCTGGTTAGGGGAGGTTGATACAAATAATCGGACATTTTAATTCAATTATACTACATATGGCGATCTCATTTATTGACGCCTTTTCACAAATATCGCTACAAGATTAACTTCGCCGCGGTGAGCGGCTCGCTCAACCTTTCCGCGACCAGAGTTCGCGGGATCACGCGAGCGAGATCGCTCAGCGTGCGCGATAAAATCAAAATGCGCTAATGTCCGTAATCGAGCGAGAGCTGGCGCGAGAGAGATAAACTGGTCTTAGACCCACCGGATGCCGACGGTCCGTCGGTAGAGAGGCGACGCCGGCGAAAGCGTAGACCAGCTGGAAACGGTGCCCTGGCGACGGTCGAGGTTGCTGCAGGAAGGGCCGCAACACGGTCTTTGCCCCGTGGACGGCGAATGGTCGCTGCTTGTTCGGGCTCAGCTTTGAACACCTGGTTCTCCTGGCAAGTGGTAGTCGCACTCCTGGTAGTAGTTCCTCTCCTGCCGAATTCTTGTCTCCACCAGTCTCTCCTTAGGCGGCCCTAATTACTCGAGAGCTCGCGCCTAACTGCCCTTCCTCTCTCTTCATTTTCTAAGCCTCGCGCCGCCGCGCTCCCACTTCTCTCGCCGTCAAAAATTAGTCAAAATCGCTCTCTCTCTCTCGCTCTTCTCGCTCTCACTCGCACTCACGGCGACACCTCGCCGATCGTCGCGCTCCTCTCTCCAGATCCTGCAACGACACAAGTATGTAGTCGCTATATAGCATACACTTGGTCGCTGCGTTCACGCGAGGAGAGTGCCGCACACAGGGCTAGCGAACATCGCTATAACCCTGTCACAAAATATTCAAATATAAATAAAGTTATTCCCGATAACCAATTTGGTTTCAAAAATAAACACTCCACCACTCACGCTATCTATAAAATTCTCACAGATATATACCATCACTTGAACATGGGTGAGGTTGTTGGGGCATGCCTGGTTGATTTAGAAAAAGCAGTCGATTCGGTATGGAAAGCCGGCCTACTTTTTATTCTACTTAAATTGAAATACCCCGCTGATCTTATCCAATTAATTTGGCACATGGCCATCAATAGATCATTCGTAATTTGGAATGGTAACCTACTATCCTCGCTAATTTTCGAAATTACTGAAGGCCTACTCCAAGGCACAGTAAACTCTCCGATATTATTTAATATTTTCACGAGTCACATTCCCAATCTTTTCAAACTAAATTCAGACAACAATACGTACTCAGCCACTTATGCCGACGATTTCATATCCCTCGCTGCCAACAAAAGCCCCATAAAAGTCCAAAAAACACTCCAGTCAATAAAATAACTTCTGAATACATGTCCTGGAATTTGAAACCCAACCCTCTAAAATATGAAACTATTGTTTTTCATGTTCCTCTTAACCGCCTCGGAAATAATAAAAGACAACAAATAAAAAATTTTCGCGTCACAATGTCGGACGGTAATAACGAAATAGTTATCCCACAAAAAAAGACAGTAAAATACCTAGGCGTCCAACTAGACTATCTGCTCCGACTCAATTCACATGTTCACCAACAGCTTGATAAAGCCAAAAAAGCCTTCCGTAAATACTCCAATATTTTCTTCAAACGCAGCCTATCAGTGAAAGCAAAAATCATTTGCTATATGTTTCTGATCAGACCCATTATCACCTATGCAGCTCCCACGTGGTGGAACATAAACGCATCTACCGCCGAAAAGCTCCGTAAGTTCGAACGCATGTGCCTTCGAACCTGCTTGCACATATACCGCCGCGAAGATAATAAACACTTCATAAGCAACACTGATATATACAATAAAGCTGATATCCCCCGGATTGACCTATTCATTCTCAAACTCACTCGTGACTACCTTACCAATCTAAAAAATATCGATAACTCAATCCTGAAAAAATACACTTTCATAAACGACCCAGAATACGAATTAGCTATATACACCGACTACATCGCCCCGCACATGTTTATGTATTTCGACGTAAACGGCCTCATACAGGATAAAAACAATGTACCGATAATTTATCACGTCTCCAGATCATCTGCGAATAAAAATATTATGTATACTCTGTCAGATTGTCTCTCAACTCTAAAATAATCGACAGCGCTCCCGCTTAACTGTGCCAATTCGTTAGAACGATATAATACCAAATATCACTGGCTGCATGACGACCCCCGTATACAAGATGAAATTCGAAAAAGGTCAAGACACAAGGCATAAAAATTATATTAAAAACCGATTTTAATTATGTATGAACACATATATGTATACGTATATTTAAATGTAACTCCAATATGCGTCGACTGTACGAAACGAATAGCACGCCTGGTACGATGTACAAACTGCGAACTTGCAGTTTTATAAGACTGACTCCTCCACCTCCCCCTTTCCCACTCCTACTTACTCCCTCAACCCACTCCTCTTTCCCTTGTGTCCCTTAGATATTCAGTCTCGCGGATTTTTGTAGTTTTTTCCCCGCGCACTCACCCCCCGAAATTTCAGGCAACAAGACTAACGTCCAGCCTGCCACTCGTCATCGATATCGCCACTCCAAAGCGCAACGACACACATATAGCAAATAAGCGAGTCTTCTAACCGAAGCGTACTTATATATATATATATTATCCACATATTGTCAAGGCCTTCTTTTATTGACATGTTTGCGCCTACCTATGTATCCATATTGTAATCTGTTAAGCAAATAAAGTCATTTTGGAAAAAAAAAAGTAAACCCGTTGCCCCAAAACACTGTTGCGCTACTTGATTTTATATATGATGTCAGGTTATATTACAAAATAAATGTAGAGAGTCGAATTAGTCATGCGCAATTATTGATAAAAAGCAATTTGGTATTCGAAAATGTTTGACGGGTTTATATTCATGTTATTAATAACAAACGAACACTAACTTCGGTTATTCTATTTCAAAGAATAAAAAAGGTGTGTATTTCAAATTTTGATAGTAATTTATTGATGATTCAAATAAAAGACTCTTTTGTTTCATATATTGCTTCAATTAGTTGGTTAACAAAAAGAATTTGTAAAATTGTTACAATATTTTTCATGTTAAATAATTCATTGGAAAGAAACGTTAGTGGTTTATTGCACTAGTGCTAATTGACGATTTCGTCGTGAAAAGAAGGAAAATATCATCTAAATGCTCGATAATTTAGCTATCGATAAACGACATACCAAAAGACATTTTCGTACTATTTACATAGAGTTACGTGATTATGAGAATAATGAATTTATAATTGCTAACCTCGGACATCATTAGAATTTATGCTTTCAGTTTTCGTTTTTAAAATGTCGAAAGTGCTTTGGTCCAAACCGTATGCTCCTTTCATTCGCTTCATGTAACACTAAGTGTTGTTAATGATGGTAGGGCAAATATCTGACGAGATCGCAAGTGATGAAAAGTTTTCTTGCTTTTTATTCGAAGCATTAAACACTCATAGATCCACTGGGTCGAATATCTTATGCTTTTACTACCTTCGACCTTCGATGCAGCCACGCGTGCTTGTATATTTAATCGTTGATTTTCCGGAAACTTCTCGCTAATTTTTATAGCCGCCTCCTCTGACGTCTTGGCACATTCATTTTTAATTTGCATAATTTTCTTTTTCAACCTAACAATCTAACATGATATTTGTAGTGATAAATTAAACTTGCGATTAAATAATTAGCATGATGAAGATAATCATATAATTGATAATCTTAAAGATTTCAGTTATGTGCAAACACTATCGTATACATCTCTCTTTTGTTACCGCATTTCACGATCAATAAACAATAAGAACAATACGAAAAATAAGATTTACTTTTCTATAGATACGATATATAATATACATTATCTTTTCACATTACTTGTTCCTGTTGTCTCCCATATTTGCGCCTCACATTTTTCAAAGACATAACTAATTGTTTCCTTTTTCTTTTCTTCTTAAGCTTTATTTCTTTCGCATTTACTTTCTTTCTCAACTTCAACCGAGCAGCGGAGCATTCTTTGCATTGCATTACTGGCGGACCTGGTGAACTAAACTTCTTGAGAATGAATCCATAACATTTTTCCGACCTGATTTCGAAACAACATTTACATAAAACGTTCTTAATTCTATAAATTAAAATAATTGTATGTTAATATGACGAAGAATATGGTACTTTTTTTATGCCGTCCATTTTGAGACATGGCATCACCATATGATTAACAAACTTTATAAGTTGTTCGATATTCTTGCAATTATCAACCTTCTGTTTATCATCAATATTTATACGGTTTTCTTCAATGTAAATCTACAATAAAAGATTGTTATGAATACTTTAAATGTGTGTAACGCTAGATGCATTAAAAATATACGTTTGGGAAACATTTTTATTAAGAAATGTCCATTTATTCGTAAAAATTGAATTTCATTACGGGTGTTACGTGCCAGTTTTGATGTCTCTTCAAAACGGGCACGTGTTAGACCGTTTTTAGCTCCGAGTGGTCCTGACTCGGGCGGACTAGACCTTCAGTACGGTACCCCGACCGTGTCACCGAATGGATCGCATCTTTACCGATAATATCCGAAGTTCGTCCTTGCGAGGGGCAGGCGGCAGTAATCGGGAAGGAAAAAGGGAGGGGGCTTCGCCGGTTAACTTAAATGAACTTACGCCGGTATGTTAGATAGGTTTATATATATATATATATATATATATTTTAATACGTCGGATAACACTTCTAGTAATAATATCGCGCTACTATGTGGTTCGCGATTTATTAAAATAAATATTTTAATTTGCGCGGTCAGCGGTGTTTACACACTTGGTCCCGGTACGCAATCACGTGGATTCACCGAAAGGGGAACCTTGATTATGCTTAGTAGTATTAGAGCGAAGAGGGGGAGAGATAATAAAGAAAAAAACAATAAGGAAGAGATTTCAGCTTATCGAAAATAGAGCCCAAAAGTACTCACTCTGTCGTCTAGGTCCAAAATATTGTTTGATTTGTGATATGTCCAATATATTCTTTTCCTTTGTATCCGATCAGATCAACTGGTCCAATATATTTTTTTTATCCGATGGTGTACCAACACGCAGCAAAAATAACAATTCCTAAGATTCTCGTGGTCTTATGTATTTTTTTATCCAATAGTGTACTAACACGCAACAAAATGATAATTCCTATGATTTCGTTTACACGAAATTATTAAAACAATTGAATTCGACACTTAATCGCAACTTGAAAAATTATATTCTCAAAACTCTTTAGTAGGAAAATGCAGGCTTCTTGCTTGAGCGCTCGCTTCTAACTAACTGAAATCCGTCGCTCTGCTTTCGCTGGCTTATTATATAGCCTTTGTCCTTAGCATAGCGTCTCTCTCCGAAGCGTATACGCTTCGGATGTTTACGCTTCTCGTGCCGGGTCGTCTTACCTAGCTAAGCACGCTGATCGAAACATGCCGTCGCAGCATGCTGGCGCAGCGTGAATCATCCTCTGCCGCACGTTCCCACCGAGTCGCGCACACGAATACTGCTGATTATACTATGTCCGAACGGAAATCTCGGGTCCGAAGTATTAATAAACAAAATACAATTATAATACAATGAAGCGTCACGTAACAACGGGATTGAAACTTACGTGAACTTTCATGTCTGAAAAAAGTACAATACGCTTTTCATAGCTCGCATACATCTCTTTCCACTCAGAAAACATAATACACGGAATTTGGTTTGTAATAACTTGAGAGGGATCCATTGAGCAGGTAATGTGATACAGCGAGGGTTGTTATTGAATTCATTGCATATATTAATAAATTTTTCCTGATTAGTCATACTTTCAATTGAGTGATCATTATTAGAAATAATTGTCGAGTCCAGTACTTCAACTTCTTTTTCAGAAGAATCGAGATTTATGGCAGAATTATTTAAATTATTGATTGCAAGCTCAAGCTTTTTTTCATTTTCGTAATCTGAGTTAATAATAGAGCAATTAACATTTCCCATCATATTTACGACTGTAACATTGGAAATAGTCTTGCTTGTAATAGCCTTATCGTCTGTAATATTTGCTGAATGTACATGTGTAGTTGAGTCGACATTTTTATGAACAACAACCATGTCCATTGTTTCAATGTTATTTACAGAACACTGTCCAGAATCAACATGATTATTTAAAATATCTGCGCTCACAATACACTCATGTGTATTTGATACATTCGAATCTGTTGAGCTGCTTGCATTCGACGATTCTAAAGCTTTTGCACTAGCATTAGTTGAAACATCTGTGAAACCGAAGACAGTATATGTAGAAGCATGTAATCAGAAATTGACATATATTATTGATTGAAATATTAGTTTTCAAATCCAAATTTTCTAATAATTTTAAACAAATCTAGTTTATGTGGTATCCTCGTATAGATTTGAATTATAACGTTCATCAATAACTTTTGTTTTTAATTTTAAGCCTATTTTGTTCAGCGCTTCATGAAAAATAAAGATATTCTAATGCATTCCAAATATAAGCAAATTCACATAAAAGTGATGAATTTTTCGATTTCCCTCTGTAATTTTCGAAAACATTGATTATTAACTGTGACGATGTAAAAGTAAGCTAATAAATATTTGTATTATAAAATCTACTAATCATTAATCAATCTTAAAAGTAATAAAAATGTTACCATTTCCATTACAAAAGAAAAAAAATGATGTTACAAAGTGGATAAATAAAGATTGTTTTTAATTCCAACAAAATTTTCGGAAAAAACCCAATTAAACTCTGCTTGATGGTACAAAGCGTGGCGTGGCGACGATACACTCGCGGCGTAGAAAAATCACTTGCAATTTATTTGGAAATCTTAACCAAAAATTATATATATTGTTATTTCAATTATTAAATTAAATATGAAATATATCATACATTCTTGTATACTGCCTGTAGCCTTTGATTTAGGTAAGCCTTCGTCGAACTCAACCACATTAGGAAATATGATAGGAAGGGAGCCTTGTTTCAATGAGGATTTTTCTTTGATCATCATGAATATTGAATTATCTTTCAACTTTTGATTGAAGGTCTTTTCTACATCATTTTCTTTAAAATGCAATTCGCAAACATTGTGATGCTTCATTAAATCGGGAATGACCTCCCGCCATTTCTCAAGTGTTTCGTTCTGTTAATAAAGAAATACAGAATGCTTTTTACCGATCTGCTGAATATTTATTTATGTAAAATTTGCTAAATACATTCACGTAAAGTTACTTATGATATTGATAATATGATCACTCGGAATAGTGAGGACCGTCGAAATTTTCTGTTACGAAGATGACAACACGTTCCTACTTACTTTGGTAGCTCTAAAAAATGATATTCCTTCTTCTGGTTTAGCTGCATTGTTTCTCACCGATATACAGCCGTTCACATAACACTTTACTTTTTGAAACATAATTGATCAAATTACATATCTACACAACATATTCCAACCAAAAAAATTGCAATAAGCATGTATACACGTGCACGCACGAACAAATCAACTACGAACTGACAGTCAGTTGTTCGTAGACAAAAGACAGCGGTTTACGAACTCGCGTTGCCGATCGAAAATTCACGGAAAAATGCGTTAACAGTGAGAAAAAATATCTTTCTACGAATATCTCAGAATATGACTTTTTTTTATTTCGACCGAATTATAGATAAGTTGTTAAATCGCAAATATATAATACTATTGTATATGTATATTTAATATAGAATTCTGACTTGATTGTTTGTCGTATAACTATCAAACAAAAAAAATTGTATAAATACAATAATAAATTATTAATGGAAACTCAATGATATGAAATGAATGACAATAAATATGATATAGTATAATTTTTTAAGCCTACAATAGCTAAAAATAAATTTCACTGCGTCCTCGGACGTTTTTTCGATTGTTATTTGAGGTGTATATAGTGGTAGAAAATGATAAAGAATATTTGACAAATTACCATGAATATCTTTTTCAACCCTTTCATTCGACATTATTTTAGATGATAATTTTTACCATTTCAAATAGGCGAAAGTTTTTCGCTCATACAAGTTTTCAGATGTTCCTCTTTGCACACACACACATATTCATATAACATTTCCGTTGTTTTAAATATATTTTTCTTATACAACATCACTGCTACATTCGTTTATCTATACATATACGAAAAATATCATTATATCGTATAACAAAAAAGTAGATCGCAAATAAACGTCGCATTATTGAAAAGAACTTCCAGTAGCTCTTGAAAAATCTAGAAAATAAATGATTTTTTATATCGATTAAACGGACTGATAGCACAGTCTGTTGATGCGTTAGTTTTACTCATTTGAATTTTAAGCGCAATGAACTTATATTTTGAAGAATATGTTATATGCTTCTAACCGGCGATATTTTTCATTTTATTGTATAATACCATAGTGTTATTATTTTTTTCAGCATTCATGTTAAAAGCGCTAAAGCTTAGTTTTTGTGGCACGCATTTCAGTTAAGGATAAATATATCAAATTGTTGATAAAAATACCCCAGTAAACTCTTC